ATAAAACCAAATTTTTGATATAGCTTTTGATATAGCTTTTTATATGTTACAGATCAATCATCAAATAACAGATAAATAAATAATTACAAAATATATATATTGGTTGCTCACATTTTTATCAAGTCGCAACAAACATGTTAAACCAATTAAGTTTTATTCACTTTAACGACTATGATAAGTATGACTGCAGTGATTTTTAAAAGGTAGTGTGTATAGATATAATTTATTGCCTTTTAAATAAATTTTAAAAATTTTATTTTATGAACCTGGCGTTAATTACGTACGTATGCATATCGTTACCATTATCGAATACGTATCTGGTTATATTAAATCACGCGATTTTGTGATATTTAGTACTTACTATATAAAAGATTAATATTATATTATATTTATTATATATATATAAATTATATATATATATATATATATATATATATATATATATATATATTAATAATAATAAAAATATTAGTTAGTCAAATTATTTATATTATTGTATGTCACATGAATAACTAATTTATTTTACCTTCATATAAAGAAAGACCTATCAAATTTGACATGTTTATTTCGGATATGTTACATTAAATGTTGCGAGTGACTACAACATTGTTATCATAACAAACAATGGCACAGAAATGTGGCTCTGTTGATAAAAACGTGTGTGGAAGACTATGCATATAAGTACACCCATTCAAGTAGCATGAAAAAGTTTTTATTACAGTAATATTCAATACCGATACTGCAATACACATACACATCCTGCTTTTTTTTTTTTTTTTTTTGTTTCCTGCAATCATAATAACCTTAATAAATTTCACAGATCGACAAATGTTGATTAGAGTTCCTTAAAAAAGATATTTCAAAAGGATTGAGCAAATCGCAAGATAAAAGAAGTTAAAAATAATAATAATAGATGAACATATTACAACGTACTTTAGCATTATTTAACTATTTATAATTGGTTCTTTAAATATTCGATGGTAAAATAACATTTTATTAATTAATAATAATTGGTAATTTTCTAATAGGAGTGATACAAAGTAATCATCAAATTTGGTAAACACCAATCATAATAACACTTTATTTTTTTTATTTGTTTTCATTATTAAAGAATGTGTGTGCAGCAAATGCAGATAAGTGTTAACAAAGAAATGTATGCAGGTAATTCCCTTGTCGCTTATATTATACAAAAATTAAACATATCGGAATTGTAAAATTTTAAAAAATGATCATCGACATTATCTCCGTCCATTGAAGAAAGGCTAGATACAGAAATCACGAGCATGTGTGTCATCGAATCTAATTGTCTTTTTCGTGCATAATAAATTTTATTCGTTACTATTTAAGTATTGATAGTTTTAGAAACAATCAATTCAAATTGAATAGAAAAAAAAATTTTTTTTCGGGGTTTTTTTTTCAAATTGACGTGTTATATAATACAATTAGAATACAGTCCGAAAAAAGGAGTTTTTGCTAGGGGTCAAAAATACAAATTCATGGAACACACAGAATACACACAGAATACACAGGTAGGCGTTTTTTTTTTTTTTATGTAAATTGTATTAAAGTGATAATAAAGTAATTTACACAAAAGAAGAATTACAAATAATTTGTACATACGTACTTCGATTTGGGGATTGGCGATAATGGGGAAGACTTTGCTTCAAAATATTGTTCCACTATGCATATACAATATATCTTCATTATACATTATATACATTATTTAGATAACTGGAATAAGATTTTTAATAATTCGTCAGATCTTTTGAACATATTTTGAACATATTTTGAACATATTTTGAACATAGTATGTTACAAAAGAAAATGTGTGCTACAAACATTTGTTAATAATTCCCTTGAAAAAAAAATCAGACCATCATCGTAATGTAATGTCTTTGGTAAACTATTTTTAATCAGCGCCAAATGAGATTTTTATTTTGTAATTGATAAGAAAAATGTGTATGCTAGTATATCAATTTCTGTATCAACAATGAGTATATTTATAACGCATACATTGTAAGCATACATTGTAAGTCTCGTTCAAAAAGTCGTGTAACCGACCAAGTTATTTTTTTCTGCACATGCTCCGTTTATAAATGAATAACAAAAACATGAATAATACAAAAAGTCTGTGTTCTCTGAAACCAAAAGCCGGAGAATATCTTTGTATCAGGCAGAGACGCGTATATAGAATTTAGGATTTACAATGTTAAGTGAAACGTAACATTACACGTTCTCTTTAAGAAAATTAAGAAAATTAAAAAAAATTAATAAAATTAATCAATCCTACAAGTAAACAAGTAAAAAATGAGTTTGGGCTTGACGTAATATCCCTGCATACATGATTGGAGATGATGCAATGGTCGTATGCACCAGATTTATAATCAAATGCAATATGTAAATAAAAAAAAAAGATGTGACATGTGGGATATGTGGCAAATCTAAAGCAGGTATTTTAAGGGATACAGAAAAAGTAAGTGGATACTTGTAAATGGTACAATATTGCAAACAACTTTAGTCGGACAAATAAGAGAGGTAAGAAATTGAAAATAAGTGATCTCTTTTGAGTCTAGCTTGTACTTATTTTTAAATACTTAAAGTATTGATACACAAAATAATTGATGAAACAGAAGGAAAAAAAAAATACATACGTACAGTACATACCTGATACGTACGTACGCCAAATTCATTGATAGGATCCAATTTTTTATATATCACATAATTGTTCAATGTCTGTGCTATTTCTAACAGCTAAGGTAAGATTGTCCAAAGTTATATCCCTATTTGTACAGGTTCAAAGAGAAGAACACGAGCCAATAAGGAATCCATCAACATTTCTTTTACAAAAAAAAAAAAAGTCGAAATGTCGTTACACGAAATTACGTGATGTTATTTGATTAAATCGTTTGTACTATGCGTTAATGCTGATTACGTGTCCATTTTGTATTAATTTGGGTCGAAATGAGTTTATAAAGAATTTGTATGCATTCATTCAACAGAAAAAAAAGTACTTTTTTGTAGATTTTTCTTCGGCGTTTAATCCACCTGCTATGACAAATCTAATTTGAAATCTTAAATCAAGCCAATTTCCTGTTTATATTATATTTGTTCATTCCATTCGAATATTTCTTTTGTGATTAATTTAATTTAGCAATTCGAAACACTTTATACCACCGATCTACCCAATCTATCAGATATCATTGACATAACAAGTTTCTCATAGCATTTATTATTTACTATACATTGACTTTGACTTTTAATAATATTCTCAACATTTTATCGTATTTTATCATAGAAAGTTACATTCAAAGCTTAGCATTAATAGAAAATTTATATAATCAGTCAATCAATCAATCAATCAGTAATAATAAAGATAAAAATTGAATAAAGTAAATCGGAAATTGAGAATTTTTATTATTCTGAAAATATATAATGATTTACCGATTGCTTCGGGAATTTTTTATTATATAATTATTTACAAATATTTAATGGTTAGTCTATTATTTATACGTGCTTCTACAATACATAAATGGTAAGAACTGCATTTTGTGGGGAAAAAATGTCGGCAATTATGGATTGGACACGATGTGAGCCAGGGATTTGCGAATCTGATCAAAAAAAGTTCAAATTCAAATGTTAATTCCTTTAGAATTCATTCAGCATAATTTTCATTATGTAAAAATGCTATCTTTTGCTTATCAATGGACTTTGTCACTCTAATATTTTTGTATTACGAAGTGTGAAAGTCAGGACCCTTTTGTTATTTAAGGTTTGTTTTCAGATGCAACAGTCATTCAGGTAGACCATTTTCATTCTAAATTTCTCACATTTGCCGGTAAATAATTAAACTATGTTTTTTTCAAACAATGAATGAATCCAAATGTCTTGTCTCAACTTAGTGTTGGCTGATTCCTTAAAAATAAACATTAACGCATAAAGAAAATCGACGATACTATTAAAACAAATCATTTTTTTTTATTATCGACTGTTACTCTATAGTTATTATATTTTAAGTCAATTTGTATGCATATTTACACCTACTCGCATATCGCATATATGATAGCTTAAATTTAGTATTCGTCTATGCGTTTATTTGATGCAGTTTCACTAACGCGAATCCTTGAAGATACTTTCTGCATTCTACGCTCGTGGACCTAATCATCTCGTTCACATCTTATCACATATTATGTAATTTGTTTCAGAAAAAAAAAAAAAAAAAGGCCCATATGCAAATAATAAAAAAGGTAAAGAAAGGGATTAGAGATTTTATGTGGTGCAAAAAAAAATATTGTGACGACTTTACTTACGAATGCTAGTATATTAATTAATTAATATATAATATATACTATTTAATACTATTTAATACTATTTAATACAGTATAACTAATTATGTGATTTAATTATACGTATTAATATAATTATCCTATACCTATATATAAAGTAGTGTATATCAACAAATCTTTTTTTCGTAACTTTTTTTTTTTGTTTCACGCCTTTGCATTGCGCAAGCAAAATAAAATGGGTGAGTAATGCAAACTGCAATTTTAAAACTATTAAAAATACCCGAGTAAATTATAGATACATCGTTTTTAACACTTATAAAAGGGTGCACAAAATCTTTTTTTTTTCCAAGATTATTCTTTTTTATCCACCTCCGAATGGTGGAGAAAAAGAATAATCCTCCGGAAGTATATAATTCACGAATTTATCATTAATAATTAATTTTATGATTAATTTTTATCATTAATTTTATCATTAAATTTATCATCAAATTTATCATTAATTTTATCATTAATTTTATCATTAATTTTATTTATTAATGATCTTTTTTTTATTCAAATTGGTGTTTCTTTTACTCAATGGTTCATCTCTCTCTCTCTCTTTCTTTTATCCTTCGATTGTTGTCGAATCGAAATAGCTAAATGAGGTTCTCCCTTTTCACGAGAAACCTTCTTCTCTCTCCTTAGTTACAATTCTTCTTTCTTTATTAAAAATCATCTATGAGTGCGGATTTTAGTATCTCGTCAGGCTGTGAAACCTGTATTGGTTTCTTAGTAGGAGGCTCTCTTTTAGTCGCGGCTTTTCTGGGAACTGCTGGAATTACGTTAGTGTGTCTTTATTGTCGCAGAGAAAGAGGCACAAGTGGTTCTCAGGCTGACGAAGAAAAGGTAATAAAATCTCTTTTTATCGGATAAACTCTATTTTTGAAATGCATTCTTTTTTTGTGGGGTAATCACACGATCTTATTTGCTTTAAATTATTAATATTTTTTATTTTGTTTCTATTTTGGTTTACCACTACTTGTTATATTACAGAATTTAAATTTATCGTTTAAGTCTCCTCCTATGAACCTTAACCAATTACTACATTTATCCCGCCCCCCCTCTCCACATACCTTTTCAAATTATTTACATAACGATCTTATCGTCCATCACCCTTTTAATAATACTGCATTGACGACGTCCGAATCTTTAAATATCGATTCTTGGGATAAATATATTGCTTATATTACTATGATACCGGAACGACCGTGTTTGCATTATGAAATTGATGAAAACCGAGTATCATTGGTTACAAGCGAATCAAAACCGCCTGCATCCGTCAAAAATGACATTAATGATGACGAGAAAATTGATAAAGATCGTACAAAAATTTCGCAACAATCTTAATAATTTAAATAAGCAAAAAAAAAAAAAACATTGGTGGATGAACTCCAATCTTTTTAAATTCAGATTTTATGATAAATTTTTTTTTATGATTTGGTATCTTCCGGATGTATAATCCAGAACAAACTTATTTTCATTCATTCTGTTTAGTATGGATCCATACAAAAAAAAACAAACCCTTTTTTTTTTCTTTTTTACGGTGTGTTGCGCGCAAGAAGATGATGCTTAGGCATCTTTTATTTTTATGATTTTAAAAAACGAAATTTATACTAGTTATTATTTACACAACAAAGAAATCAATTTATTTTCGAAAACTCTCGTCGGGATTTCGGTATCCGAATACTTTTTTTCTTTTTTACCTTTTTTATCGAATACCGTTATCATATATATCGATTAATTAATTTAAAGAATCAAATATTATTTAAAGCGAATTCATCAAACTTCAAAAAGGAAGGAATTTTTATTTATTTTTTTTTAAAAAAAAAACGATGTTTATCAGAACTTAAATTTTTAATAACGAAATAAAACAACAAAGAAAACGAAACGAAGCTAAAAAAAAAACAGTTTTATTTGGGTTTGGTGTATAGGTTTGGGTGTGTAAGTTTAAAAGTTTGACTGTGTAAGTTTACAAGTTTAGGTAATTTTTTATAATTGAAAAGTTTATAAATTTTATAATTTTTTTATAATGAAAAGTTTATAAATTTTATAATTGGTAATTTCATCAATGTCTATGATGCATTTATAAGAGAGTCCAAATTTCTCATATACAGTATTCCTAAGAACAATGGCAACAATGGCATTAAATGATAATCATAGTGTCCTAAGAACAATGGCATTAAATGATTATCATAGTGCATAATCATACATATTTATATAACAATAATGATTAATCGTATATTTCAAAGAATTTGACACACGAAATTTGAAATTCTTAGCAAGTTTAGAAACTAAATGCATTGATGAATGATGAATGATAAACAATAACTTAATTTATTCGCTTACATCATGTATATAAATGCATTCACATGCTCCCATAGATTAAACTCATTGTCTTTTTTATTCATGTAATGCATTTATGTTTGGGAAACCTTGTATCTTTTCGATTTCTCCTTATAAATATTTGTGCAGTGTAACTTTACTTTTACTATGATATCAGTCTAGGTTCGCGTGTTGCAAACAAGCGATAGCTGTTAGTAAAGAGATCTCTGCATATATACGGTAAAATCGATTTTAATTGCATCTAAATGTTTACTCAAGATCCTGGAATTAGTTACGTATAGTAAATATGACAATGCATATATAGTATAAATATCTATTACTGTATTATGTATTCTTCTCCTTACATATGTTTTTTAAGTTTATTCTTTTTTTATTAGAGTCTAGTATAAATGTGTTATAAGATTCAAATAAATCTTCCTAAGATTAATTTTTCCGCATTTTGACGATCATAGTAGATCTTCTTAGTACTGTAGATACTGTAGATACTGTAGATCAGGTGACGGATATTTCTCCGGGAATTACCCGGTAATAAACGGCGGTATATAAATTTCTTTCATTATATTATATAAATGCGCGTTACAATGAGCTTTATGTGCGCTTATTATAACACATGATACTCTGTAATTTGTTATTTATGGTTATTTGCTGCAAACAAAAATATTGGCTTCTTGTTATTATTATGGTTATTCTTATTTTTTATTTTTAACATATGAAATTTAAATAAATAAAGACTTGATGCATACATAATCTATTCTGCATAAATAATTATAAATCTTAATTTATTTATTATAATTGATTATAAGGATCCTCCTTGTGCTGGCGGATAAACTTCTATATGTATGCATAAACGAAACTATATTCACTGATTTGTGAATGATTTTCTGTTCCAAAAGTCTTTTGACGGTATGCAGACACAAACAAACAAATTTCCTTGTTGATAAGAAATTTGCCTGCTAGAAACAGGAACAAACGTGATAATCACATTCACAAAAAGATCGAGCATGAATATTTAATTTGTTTTAGTGAGGATAAACAAATAAAACTCTAATAATTGGTGAAATGTTTCTGCATCCGAGAATATTATTATTATTCTTTCTACACCGATTATATAACTATCTTTCGTTTCATAAAAGTGTGGAAAAAAAAAAACTGCAAAACACTGCAAAACCTGCTAATTATTGAAATTAAGAATTCTCACCCCTTAATACAGTAATATGATTCATTATTGTTCAACAAATCAAGTTTTATAATTTTGAGAACTAACATGTTGGTCCTTTTTCATAAATCTTTCTTGGAAAGACTGCATATCCCTGCACAATCTATTTATACGATCGTGTTTTTCTTTTTTATCTTTCTTTTTACTTTGTTCACGTGTGTTGAAATTTAATCATTCACATCATGCATTGCAGTTAATAAAAGTTATGTTAATAAAATGCCATCATTAGTAACACCACATTTAAAAAAAATTCGTTACAACCGCTTAATTTCCTGTGTTTGGATCGCACATTAATGTTAATTTTAATTGAACGTTGAAGAAACGTAAATCAACACAGGGTGGCTATTCAAATAAGGTTATGGTTACACCAAGTTGTCACACGGACCAGATTGGGCCGGAAGTTCGTGTCTGTATCTACAGGAGCGACCGTCGATGTTACACGACTGACTTTTCACCCGGTGTGCAACATATAAAAAAACTATTTTACAATA